TAACGGTCAAAGGCATGAAGTGATGAAGTGGAGGTTGTTGGGTTTTTGGGGGGTTTTTTGGTAGAGATTTTACGGCGCTCGCATCTGCATAATGTCATATATGAGCGCCAGAAGATTAGAGGTGTTACAAGAGAGTAACATTTAAACAAACACAAAAAAGAAGAAGGGGAGATAAGGACGATAGATGTTTCATAGGAAAGAAGTAGCAAACCACACCAGAGCACCCACCAACCACCCACGTGGAAAGTCTGATCCAACAATCGAATAAATCAGGCGTGGGCAAACTTCGGCCCGCGGGCCAGATCCTGCTCATGACTCTGCCCAGTAACTATAGTAATGAACATGGCACAAGTATAGCGGATATTAATCAAGAAAAGAAAAAGATTTTGTTTTTTTTTAAAAGTCTGTCTCGAAAATCAACAATCAATCATTTCCGGCACAGCTTGAACCAATAAGTCTGATATATCTCATCAATGAAATGCCTTTGAGCGACATTATAAGCTGTTGTCTCAGTTTAGTCAAGCCTTTGGGATTGAGAGCTTGGCTATTTCAACGGAGTTCACCCAGTTGTCTCGGGCTGTTTTGGCCCGCGAGATATTCGGTACATTTAATCTTTTAATTTAATCCAGCCCACGATTTGGACACGCTGCTCATGCCTGCTGTAAATCAAATCCAGTGGACCCTAGGGCAATGTTTAGATCTAGAGGCCATTTCACAATACAATTAATGAAACAAAACAAAAACACCCGATATTTCATGACATTTATAACACATAATTGCTTTACAATGTCAACAGAGTGTATGATATCGTGTGTTTTATTTTTTATTAATAAAAATAATCCTGATTTGTTATTATTTTTATAGTGGAACAATTCCCACCACCATCACCACAACAACAACAATCACCTCAGTGTGTCCACAGTGTATGATAACGTGTGTATTATTCTTTACTAATAATTAAAATAGTTATAATAATAACAATGATAGTGGAACAATACCCGCCGTTACCAAAATACCACCACCACCATAACCACAACAATCACCACCTGACCACTACCCACCCAGCAAGTTGTTGATAGCTAACTGATAACCCACAATGGGTTAGCCCATATCTAACGAGAATGTTATCATCACACCTGAGATAATTGCATCAAGCTTGTTATCTCACCAGCAACACAAATACCGCGTCCGTGTTGCATGGTCAGGTGGATTTTTTTTTTAAGAAGTCGGTCATCTTGGGTCGATTGTAGTGGAGACAAGATAGCAGAGAATCTTTGGCAGAGAGACATCTAAATTCTACTCCTCATTATCAGTCTATCAGTCAGTGGGACCAGTCACGCGAGAGTATGTTACGGGTGTTAGTCACGAGGCGAAGATAGCTAGCTACTAAAAAATATTACTTAATTGACTTAATTGTGTGCTTGAGACTATCATCACTGTGTAGTACTTCGCCTGTGCGTACGTTCACTGCGTGGGTTTCCTTCATCATACTCTGTTAGTGTCAGTGCGTGTGTTGTGTTTGGCTGTGTGGCTTTCTGTTGTAGTTGTCTGTGCGGGTGATCTGTGTGTGTGGCATTGCTTCATTCAAGCTTTTCATTGTTGCATTTTAAAAATTAGTGCAATGGATGTTGAAATGATACATATTATCTATATAAGTGGCTATCTCCAGCTTTCTGTGACGATCTTGATCTAGATAGTGCATTTAAGAAGGAAGGAGAAAGCACAATACGATTCTCTTCATTCAGGCTATCTAGATTCTAGGCCTTATAAGGATCAGAAGTGAATTCGTGAGTGGTGAAGGTAGACAAGACTAGATTTACATCGAACAGCAACCGCGCGCGCACGCACACACACACACACACACACACACACACACACACACACACACACACACACACGCACACACGCACGAGCGCTAACCTAGGCGCTAACGCATACTTAAATAAGCGCGCACTCTCACAAACAGCCACTTTCTCTCCCATGCTCTCTCTCTCTCTCTCATTCTCTCTGTCTCTCTCTGTCTCTCTCTCTCTCTCTCTCTAACACACACACACAACCACACACGCATACACATACACACACTAGTAATATCATACACCCACACACATACACACACAAATACACACGAACACATGCACACACAAACACAAATAACATTTTATATATTTATATACATGTATTCAAATATGCACACATATTTACACTCACAAACACACTCGCACGCACACACGCATACACAAATAACATGTCTATAACACAAACACACACACGCACACACGACACTCACACAACATGCATTCGGTCGGCCGAAGCAATCGTCCTTGATCTTCCAGCTATTTTTACACAGACAAACACGGCCATGGTCAGAGACCGTTGGCTATGGTGAAGAAATCCCTTTGTTTCAACAGCTGATGCTGTGGGGGCGTGGTGCTGTGTACAATAATAATTATAATACCGACCCGTTGTGTGAGCCTGTGTTAAATATCTACATGTACCGACAATTTTGAGAGCCCGTGTTGTATATTATTATATATTCCGAGCAGGTGTGGGCCTGTATATATATATATACATATATATATATATACGTGTGCCAACAATTTTGAAGCCCGTACTGTTGTACATGATATACCAACGATGGTGTGGGCCTGTGTTGTACAAATGTACCAATAATTGTGAGAGTCCGTGCTGTACATAATTATTATAATATATACCGAGAGTTGTGAGAGCCCGTGCTGTACATATTATATTACATACCGAAGGTTGCGAGCCTTATAGTAATATTACCAACAGTGGTGTTGGCCTGTGTTGTGCATTATTATGTACTGACCAGTTTGAGAATCCGTGTTGTGTTGTACCAAACTCTCTGGTTGTACATAATTATTATGATATTTACCGACAGTTGTGAGTGTACATAGTAAAATAATATTACCAACAGTGGTGTGGGCATCTACAAGTACCGACAATTTAGAGAGCCCGTGTGTTGTACATATCATATACCGACAGTTATGTGAGCTGGTGTTGTACGTACATACATACTAACAGTTGTGAGACTCCGTGTTGTACCAAAAGCTTTGACTTTGTGAGACGTCGAGACAGTCGAGGAGGTGGAGTAGTGTCTTCTGTGCGAGATGATCTGTGCATATTCCTACTGTTGATCAGCAGGAATTTCTGTTTTGCTTCACACAGTGGGGCGGCATGTCTGTTTCTTCTGAAACTGGTAAGTTATATAGGCCTTTTTAGATTTCTCTCTCTCTCTCTCTCTCTCTCTCTCTCTCTCTCT